AAAAAAAAAAAAAAATAGATTTGGGGCAGGCCCGTGGCTCACTCGGTAGAGTGCGGTGCTGATAACACCAAGGCCCCGGGCTTGGATCCCATATTGGGATGGCCGGTTCGCTCACTGGTTGAGCGCGGTGCTGCCAACACCAAGCCAAGGGTTGAGATCCCCTTACCGGTCATCTTTTGAAAAAAAAAAAAAAATAGATTTGAGGTCTTTGAGAAAGAATTGTTAAGTATTGATTAGCTTTACACTTTAATAAGCTAAATTTGCATTTTATAATTACTGGTGTAAAAACAAAAGAAACAGCATTTAGCTTCCAAACCTAGGAGAAAGAAAAACAGGAGTAATAAAAATAATCATCAGAAAAAGAAAAAAAGAAAGAAGAAACATCGAATAGGCAGGACAAATAGAAAGTATGGAATAAGATGATAGATATAAATTCAAATATATTTTAACCATTACATTGTTAATGGACTAAATGTTCCAGTTAGAAGACAAAGATTGTCAAACTGGACAACAAAACAAAAGTCAAGTATATGAGGTTTAGAAGAAACACCTCTAAGACATTAAGATACAGAAAGATTGAAAAAAAAAAAAAGGGAAAAAATTTTTCTTGCAAATACTAACCCAAACAAAGCCAATGTAGTAATAACAATTAGATTTTAGGACAAAGAGCATTAATAGTGATGAAAAGGGACTTTCATGATGAAATCAGGTAGATATGTCAGGAAGGTACAACAAGATTTAATTTGTGCCTAATAACATAGCCTCAAAATAAATAAAAACGGACAGAATAGGAGAAATAAACACATTCACAATCATAGAGGGAGATTTTTAACATACTTCTTTCAGTAATTGATAGAGCAGGGCAAAAAATCAGTACAGATATAGATGATTTGAGCAATATGACTAACAAATCTAATATGCACATATAAAATCCTCTGACCACAATGTAATTTAGGTAGAAATCATTCACAAAGAGAGAACTAGAAAAAAGTCCTTTATGTTTGGAAATTAAGAAACACACTTGTAAATAACTCATGGGTCAAAGAAATCACATGGAAATTATAAAACATTTTGAACTGAAGGAAACAAAATTACTAACATAAGATTGGTCTCGGGAGAAAGTCTAGATAGAAGAGAGACTTTGGATTAAACAGCTTCTGAGTGGATGAATTCAACTAGGGAGCACATGTAGTAAAGGGCTCCCTAGAATCTTTTAAAACACAGGTAAACAAGGAGGGAGTCAGGGACAATAAGCAAAGATGATCAGAAAGTACCTCTGAGACCGGAGTGAGTGGGGACCATGTCCCAGCCTCCATGCTCCACCCATGGGCCTCTTGCCTATCCTTCCTGGGTGCAGTCAGCACTGAAAGAGATCACAGTCTAGTGCTTTGGAGGGCCTTCCTCAAGATTGTTTAAGTCCTCCTCCAGTGCCTGGGACTAAGCAAGACCAGACCTGGTACTACCGAGGAAGTAGTTGCCAGAAATGCTTCCCTTGATATTTCCTAAGTCTTGCTTTTGTGCCTGGGACAGTGCCATTTCTTCTATTTGAAGCCCTCTCTAACCCTCTAGATCATACTCAGTGTGTACCATATGCCCTGAGAAGCTCTGGGACTTGAGCCTATGGAATCGCCCTGGGTCTCAAGAGTAGATAATTCCCACTAGTTACAGCACTATCTTTTTCACAATATAGTACAAGGTTGGGCTACCAGAATGGTGCTGACAGATCTTAAGTGACTCGCACTTTGGGCACAAGATGAGTTCAGTGTATTGGGCTACCAAAGGTGACCACTGACCTTTGGGATTGAGTTGTGTTTGTAGGCCTGTGCATTGGCTCTCTCGGATCTGTGAGGGTACTGGAAGTTATTCTTTACCCTGTTTGCCTCCTACCACTGATACCAGTAAGGTCACCCTATCCCCCTCTGCAGGTTCTACATCTTATGTCAGATCATCTCTGTGTCCTCTGAGGCCTTTCAAGACTGTTGTTCCACAGTGCCAAAGGGCCCTTCTAATCAGTATCCTTTCTTGTTTCCAATTGCTAATGACATTGTGCTCTCAGGTTTGGGCTTAAGCCATTCTGATGGAGGGATGGACATTTCTTGCACAAATGAAACCACTCTTCTTGCTCCACCCATGGGCCTCTTGCCTATACTTCCTGAGTGCAGCCAACATTGAAAGAGATCACAGTCTAGGAATGCAGTAATTACAGGCTAAAAGTTCAAGAGAAGACATGGTTGGAATATGTGTTCAATGTTTATGCTACAAAAGCCCAAATGGTAAATATGTGACTAGAAAATGAATTATTATTCACATTTTCTTGCATACATTGGGTAGGACTTGCATTTTTGGTAAACGTCAGTGAAGCAGTTAACAACCTTTGAATCACTGGATCACCATTGTGCCAGTACTCACAGTGGCACAATGGATGCAGCATCATGAATGATGTAACCAACATTAAATGATTAGGGCATTGCAGAGGCAAGATCTATGTAGTCAATACAAATAGGTTCTGAAAATTCTTGGCATTGCGAATACTAACACCATTGCTACTCTTATCGCAGTGGGAAATATGAAATTAGCCAGGGATGGCACATTGCACAAAAAGAACATAGAGTATTTCCTAGTCCTGAAGAAGAGATGGTGCTTGTATACTAAGAATCTCTGCACGCACCAACTGGACAAGAAACACGCACCTTTTCTCTAGTCATTATTCTAAATCTTCACTGATAAACCACTCTACCATACAGGGGCCCATGAATCTTGCAATACATCTTTGGGGGGCTAG